TGGAGTGTAGAACTACGTTTACCTTTCCGTAAGGCAATGGGTAGGTCAAGATCTGAAGGTTCAACAATAGGAGCCATGAGAGGATCCGCAGATGAAGTAGAAGCAGGAGGAGGGGCCGGTGTCGTTCGACGTATATACACTTGTCGGACCGGTGGTCGTTCAGTGGTGACCTGCATTGGATGAGGAGATGAGTCTACTCCAATAACAGCCTCTGGAACTGAATCACTGACAGGAAGAGGAAGAGGAGGTAAGGGTTAGGACAAGGGTGCTTCATGACTGGAGAAGAAGGGGACAAACTCAAAAAAGGTGACATCAAGGCAGACATAGCACTTTCGGGCAATGGGATTATAANTTTCTTTGAAGTAAGTCGCAAGTGTTACACTTTCCAAGGAAAACTTCCCAACAAAAAACACTAATTCTGGAAGGAATTGGTCTACCCCAGACTTCCAAAACTGGAAAAGGGATTCCAAAGACAGGAGGGGAATGAGCCAGTTCCTTGAAGAAAGAGGAGCAAGAGAAGATACCCGAAGGAGGAGCCCAAATCCTACTATCCCTCCTAAGGGGGTCAATAACCACCCCTTCAAGGATATGTAGCAGGTCAGCAATGACGTTCAGTTCCGGTTCTCTAAGGGCCCTTCTAAAACCCAAATTCCAATCAATGGTTGAACTAGAGGTGGTCAAAACAGTGGAGACTGGCTCATTTTTAAACCGTGATAAAGAATACAAGGAAGGGAAAAGTTCTTTTAGCGGAGTGCTTCCCACCCAAACATGATCCCAAAATTTCACGCAGTTACTGGAGCACATATAATACCTGATTAGAGGAAGAAAAGAAGTATGGCATGAATTGATTTCCAAGGAGAAGCTCTCGTAGCCCTAGTTGAAACTCCAGAGTCCCAACCATCCGCCGCTTGCCCATGAATACATATGACAACTTGAGCCCATAATTTATCCCTTTCCAAAGTCAATCTCCAAAGCCATTTCCCTAGCAGAGCTTCATTCTTTTTTTGCAAATTGCCTAAAGCAAGCCCACCATCACTTTTGGTTTTGATAACTATATCCCACCTGACCCTATGATCCTTTTTCTCCTCTCCTGGTTCCCATAAGAAATCTCTCATCAACTTTTCCAAAATTCCACATATTCCTTTTGGCATTTTAAACACCGAAAACAAGTATACAGGCAGATTTGTCAATGTGGACTTAATCAGAGTTATTCTACTTCTCATGGATAGGTAATTTTTCTTCCAAGATGCTAACCCCTTAGTGAATCTCTCAATCACCGGGTTCCAGAAACTCTTTTTACTTGAGTTATCCCCTAGTGACAGCTCCATATATGTCTGTCCAATGAGCGATCTCACAACCCAAACTTTGGGTTCTATCCTCCACCTCACTTTCACTCAAATTAATGCCAATCACACAACTCTTGCCTAGATTCACTTTAAGATTAGTCACATGTTCGAAGACATTGATCACTTGCTTTAGATTACTCACCCGACTTACCTCATCCCCACCACAGAAAAGAATTTTGTCATCAGCAAACTGTAGATGTGTTACTGGAACCCTATTCCTCCCTACCCTCCAACCTTTCACCAAGTTTCTAGAGTCTGCCCTCTCAATGAGCTTTCCTAGGACTTCAGTCTAGTATATGAGCTGAAGCTTTAACTATCAGCTTACTTTCCCAATCTCCTCTCTGTATGTTTACTCCCATTCTGTATTTGCCTGCCCCAGCTGTCACTAATAGAGTCTCTTGCTTATTATTTCTCACCAGACTAGTAGAAGTGCTTATCTTTCTTTTTACTGTTACTTCTCTTTTAGCACCCAAGCGTTGCAGCAGTTCACATAAGACCCCATGAACTGCCTTCCAGCCCTAACTCTTCCTTCCTTCTGGTAGGCAGACCATCTGCTTTCTTCCCTTGCCAAAAAATTCTGTCAAAGAGATAAAATAACCTTTAAGGTTTCTCTTACATTCTACAACAAACCTTCTTCCAGTTTTCTGAGAGAAACTCTTTCCAACAATTTTGTTTGCCTTTGTTACTTGCACCTTCTACAAACTCCTTGAACCCTTCTATTACCCTCAACCCTTCTAACAGCACCATCCCTCTCTTTGCTTTCCTGATCTTCAACCTCAGCTGACCATTTAATCTCAGCTCCTCAAATAGCAGCTCCTTAGTTTCAATCTTCAAGGCTTTTCTTCCATTCCTATCACGTTGGAGTGTCAGGAAAAATACTTTGACTTTCCAAAATAAATATGGTATGGTCAACATAGTTAAGAAGTTGGTTAACTTATTCCTGTTTGATTGGATTCCCACATTAATCTTACTGCTGCCACAGAAAAAAGTTATGGGCATACAGTCTCTCACTATATTAAAGAGTTTTGCCTGACCCTTTTTTGTATTATGTTCATCTTTTTCTTTGTGTTAACAAAATTTACTTTACTGTATTCAAAAGAAA